CATAACAAATCCATGATCTGTGCTTAGAATTAAAACAAAGATTTAAGTAATTTATTGAGGAGACAGTTGTTCATTGTCAGTCAATTAGTATCTCCTGTTTACAGTACGGTACGACTTGGGAGACATTTTGTCAATTATCAATCTTAACCTTTACAGCACTAGGCTATTTTTAATCCTCATTTTTTCCTTCCTCGCCTAGGTAATACTAATACCGAAACCCTTGACTCCTCCGACCTCAATACTGATATGTCTGTAATTTTTTGAGGACATACAAAAAAATTCTATACTGCTTTTATTTAATTTGAGATTTCAGAAAAAAACATTTTTAGAATATGTGTCACGACGCGGTGAAATCAGGCGCATGTCAATTTTTGAGCATGTGGAGTTATTGGTACCATTTAATAGCTGATTTATTTGCCTTGCTTCTAATGAAATAAATACCCATCTATCTTGAATAGAACTCATGATATTTGTGATTGGAGGAAGTGAGGTCGTCTGGTTTCAGCTGTGAAATTAGCGAGAAAATGGCCAACAAAGTTTGGTAACTCCAACAGCTAAAGAGTCTTTGAAAACTGAAAACATTGTGCTTTTAATCAATGTTTTTCAGTAAAATTCATATAATATGGAAATGTGTTTTTATATAGACATAAAAGAGGTTAACCAAAAAATAAAAATCCGATAAAAGTTTCCAAACTGGCGGAAAAATGCCTGTTTCTCCAATTTTGTTATTTTGACGAGTGCCTGATTTCACCACGCTGCCTTGCATAATAATATATATTTTTCAGAGACAAGTGGATAGATAAAATACCTGGCTGGCTCTGAGCTGGTCAGCCCCTATAAGTATGACGGAAATAAAAGTGACTGGGCTTGGAAGAACGAGAACCTGTGAACTGTGAGGGAAATAATATATATATATATGTGTGACTGGGTCTATACATATATATGGATTTAAGTTTATCATGTTTACACAATGGTCTATGGGGAGGGAAATATCCCCAATCTTGAATCAACCTAAACCAACCTTAAGGGGTGACACCTTTTCAAAGAAAAAGAAAAAAAAAAAAAAAAAAAGGAAAAACGAAAGAGACAAAAATCTTTCTTTTCAATCGTACAATCGTCTAGGCACCCATATAATATAGGTATGCCAAAGAAATTTCTGCTCATCATCCAGGACAAGGAGAATGGAGGACTACCGAAAGACGTAGAAACGGGATGGAAAATAGGATGAATGAAAGAATCACCTGAATTTAATCATCAGATAAAACAATTACGTATAAAAACCAAACAATTCAGTAGTACCATCCTGCCCTCCATGAACACCATGTACACATTTATTTTTTGCAACATTTAGAAAAACAAAAGGAGTATTTCATTGTCAAATCACTAGTTAAGGACAATTTCAAACACTTTATTACAGACATAGTAACAAGATGGTAATGATAAAATGTGCCACATTCTGACAAGTGACGTATGAGAGTGAGAAAGTCTTACACCGAACAGTTGGCATATTCTATAGAGCCATCAATGCAAGCCAAACACACTCTTACTCTTATGCATAACCAACCATACTCTTTATGTCTCCCTTTCTCTATTTCTGTCTCTCTTTCTATCTCTCCTTCACTCAGATAAACGAACAAACATACATGACATATATATATA